GCCCTCATTAATATTTAACTTTATACTCTAATCAAAGCAGAGTTTACTCTTTATATCAACAGCACTGACTTTGTAGTATTCTTCTGATTGCTTGCGAAACTCTGGCGAATCGTTCTCAGCGACAGCCACAACAATGTGACAACTGGAGGACGAGAGCTTGAGCTGAGGGACCAGTTTGCTGGGGCTGTTCCTGACCGCCACCTCCCTGCACACAGGAGACACCCGGGGGACAGAGGAGTCAGACACTGACTGGCACGACAGACCAGCAGAGGACAAATACAGAAACAGACACACACACACAGTAACGTCTCTATATAGTTGTGAGAACAATCACCGACATAATGCATTCCCTTGCCCCTTACCCTAACATTAACCATCACAACTAAAAGCCTTACCATAAACCACATTCTAACCCTAAAACCAAATCTTAACTCTAATTCAAACCTTTCCACGTCACTTTAATGGCATTTACGGGTTCACACATAGAATTGATGGTTTACTGCAGGGTTTCAAAAATATATCTGGATCATTATCAAGTATTCATATGAATTTAAATGAGCTAAAATGGAGTTTCCTGAAAAGCTTATATGTGTCATAGTTATTTTTTATTTAATTTGCTACCAAGAAGTATCTATTAAACCAATCTGTATATAATGTGGCACAGTGTGGTGCCCAGGTTGACAAACTCTGGATTACCAGGAGTAAGCCGGTTAAGTAGGGAAATGGCATGATGCGTTTACATGTTGTTCTAGTCTGATTACTGTAAAACCCTAGTCTATCTGGTCAGTAATCAGATTATACCCTTGCACCATATAGCATTGCACACTGTTGCAGTCGCTTTAAAACAAGTATCAAAACCGATGGAGCAGAAATGCAGATATCATCTTTTCACACATTCCTCTTCCTTTTCAAAACCTGGTCCCTACATGTCTCACAATGCAACTCAACAGCTGACAGTTCAGTCAGAGAATTGGGAGTGTTATGCTAGAAGTGGCTAATCTAGCACTGAGCTGTTTGTCACCATGAAGAGCAGGATACAGAGGTCTAGTAAAATCAGTGACATCACTTGGGGCAACGTGTTTGACTTCACAGGCTTCATAAAACTTCTTTCACGTTTACAGTAGTACTCTCCCGACATGTAAACAGACTTTGATGTGTAAAATAAGGATTTTCCATTAAGAGAAGGAAATTTGATCTGACATCATGATCAGCTCTCTAAGTGCATTTTAAAATAAAGAGGGCTCATGTAAAACAGATGAAAGTTTTATTCCTATATTACTTTACTTGCAAAGCTGACAGATGTTTTACTAATCACTGAATGTTACCAGGATTAAGCTTAAGGTTAGTTAAGTATTTCTCTACCATCTATAGGGGATCCCATTCAGTCTGATTGATTTCTAGCTGTGTTTCCAATACTATTCTTAGACCCATAGCATAAACACTAGATACCTTAAAGATAAATATATGAATGAACAGGTGACCAGCGCTCTGTTGCAGATGCGGCTCATTAACTCTAAGTGACATTGTCAATCACAACAACAGCGTGTTCACCGAATCAACAGTCAAATTGCCCATTCTAAAGAGGCATGTTTAGAACAGGCACTGTGCACTAGTACATGTTATTGCATTAAACGTTGCCATCTACATACTCTGTCATCTTCAGAGGCTCGTTGACGTAGGTGGACAGGATCGGCAGGAGGTCGTAGATGCCACTGACCAAGAAAGCCCCTGGAAGATAATTATGAAAACAGTTAAAAACAGTTTATAGATGATGCAGCATGTCTCCACCTTTATTTCTGTTTCCTTCCATTTTAGTATAATGCTAATTATAAAATGGTCAACGATTGTGTTCCGCATCTGTCACTCGTCCCAGTTCACCTGGTCGTACTAACCTTTGATCTGAGGGGTGATGCTGTACTGTGACCAGTCAGTGGAGAGGACCATTGCAGCAAGGTGAGCCCCAGCAGAGTGTCCACACAGGTACAGACCACTGTGAGACAGATCAGAGATTTCATAAAACATCAACTGCAACACAAAGGATTTACGATGGAAAATGTGACATTTTAGCTCAACGTGAATGAGGGGACAGAAAAATGATCATAATAACATGATGCATTAAAACAATCTTTATTCAAACTGGGTGATGGTAACAGGGGAAAACAAGCAAAGGTACCTGATGTGAGAGTACTGCTGAATGACAGACACAACACTCTTGCGTACTTGAGACACCATCAAGTCCATGTTACCTAAAAAGGAAAAGTAAGGCCACAGGCAGAGAGTTGACATTATCAGTTTATCCTCCTTAAATATTCCATCTTTCCCTGAGAACAAAAACAAACTTTATCAGAAATGAAAAGATTCTACCTTTCGGGGCGATGTCGTAGCCAACGGCAACCACCACGACACCTTTATCGACGAGTGGAACAGCCATGAATCCTGACTCCTCCTTACTGTATGTGCACAAAACCTCAGCATGAAAAAGGGTAAGTGTACATCTATGTTACAGTTCAGAGGTTTCTGAGAGTGGAACACTGTACCTGAGAAACTGCCAGTAGCCGCCATGTATGTAAATAACAAGAGGGACATCTGGAACAGAGGGAATGAAGCATTTTAGTTCTCATGCTCGACATCAACTTCTGAATACTTGAAGATGGTGGAGTGAGGTTTCCGTGTCATGACAGCCACTCCTGTCCGTACCCAAAGAGTTGGTTTTGGGTATGTAGACGTCCAGTTTCTCTCCATCTCCCTCTCCATATGGCACGTTGAGTAAAGTTTGAGCCAGACCACGGGCTCGCTGCGTACCTGAACGACACGTGATATCAAAGCACAACATTTTCAACATATGCTGATTGAGAATATGTATATATTTGTCTGCTGTCAAAGATTTTGCTACATTATCTATACTAGATATCACTTTTAATACTTCTGACAATTTAGATTATTGGAGGCAATGTCGCAAATTGGCAATTAAAAAATGATGAAGTCTAGAACAAGGTATGGACAGGCCTCTGACACAGGAGTCAGAGGCTCACGTGAGTAACAGCTCACGATTTTTTATTTTTACCTCTGCCAAGATGGTTATTATTTTACCCTTGCCTGTTGTTTTTTGGTTTATTTGTTGCCAAGATTACAGAAAAACTTGCTGGAGGGATGAGGCGTGAGAAGAACTCATTTAAAATGTTTGTGAGGATCTTTTCACTTTCTTTATGTTTTAAGTCAAATAATAATTAAGGTTATAAAACTTTTTTATATTCTATACTCTTTTAATTTTATCTTATTTCTATTTTATTTTATCTTTTACATTTCTACTTCTTCTAGAACTAGACAATCATATGTAGGATTATGGCCGTGGCAGAGGTATGTGCTCAACTACTCATTCTAGTTAGTTATTTTATTCACTTAAGCGTTTTTATGCCATTGTTTTATCCAAAAACACTTTTCCATTACTTGCTTACTGTTGGTGCTGACTGATAATGAAGAGAAACATCCCTGATAAAACTCTGGGTGGGGAGCTTTGTTGTACTTTGCAGCTCTCAGACATCTCCCCCGCAGTCAGATCTCTAATAAAGATTTCCAATACCTTACAAAACTACTAAATTTATTAAAATTTGGATATAAATTTACATCTAGCATGAAGATGGTATAAAAACGAATTATTATTTTTATTTACTTCAGGAAGAGGAAACAAAGTATTTTGGCAGTTTCCAGTTTCCCCTTTGAAGTTGGGACTACATAAGCTCACTAAATTCAACATAAACCCAAATATGTCGCTTTGTTTGGACTATGTACAGGTGTACGAGCTTGTATTCTGCTAGGCTGTGTATTTGTATTTTCTTGAAAAAAGATGAAGTTGTTACAGAAATCTTCACAAAATCAATCTGTCATTTGTATAGTATAAACATCAAAGGCATATCGTCAAAGTCCAAATTGTATATTACATACATATAGCGAATATAAGTAGCCTAGGTTATATGTGTCACAGCCTCCAGTGTCCTAATCTGACGGTAGAAATTCAACAGAGATACACATCTTCACAGGGATACGACATTTGACACGACACCTGTGTTTGCTCCTGACGGCTGTAAATATATCCTGTTGCTGTCCTGTGTGTTTGAGGTGAACCAGCCTCTAATGTCAAACAACACACTGACCTTCCTTCACAGCCTTAACGTGAGCCTTGACCACGTCGTCCTCAGACATCCTGTGCGACCACCGGCTGGGTGAAAGCTGCCGCTCCAGCTCCTGTCACAGCGACACACTACCGTCAGCCGGGCGGCCATGAAAAAGCCGGGGACACCCACCACCATGAGCCGCTGACATGTGCTACTGCGCCCCCTAGTGCTCATATTCAAACCACTGCTCTGGTGAGGGGATCATCACTGTTTTATGTTACTTCCTTTATTTAGCTGTGAAAATGGTAATAGTGAAACAGGGGAAGCTTCAAAATACAAACAGTTAAAGAAGCCTGTTATACACACAGGGATCACAGAAGGGGAGAACAAAGGAAAATAACACAATAATGTAAACACTTACATCTTTCTTCATCTCAGTCCAGTGCATTGTTTTATCGCTTGAAGTGTCTTAAATCACCTAGAGTCTGCTGATAGAAACAACCATCCAACCGTGCTCAGTGTCTGGTGGAGCTGCTGCTGCTGCTGCTGCTGCTGGTGTTACTGAAGACCTGGACTTCAGACCGTATGTTGATCTAAAGCTGTACACAGTAAACCATGCAGCACTCACTGAGTAAACCAAGTGACAGAAAACTCCACCCACCACCACCTCTTTCTTTCTGGATTGGGGTTTATTAAAAACTCTTTGACTGAATAGCCACAAGTTACATCAAACTGCCACTGCTAAGACATGGCATATGTTTGTGGAACTGTAATGTTGAAGAAGAATGAAAGGTGCAGGGCTGTGCAGAGAACTTTAGAAGGACAGGTGCTCAAAGCTGTAAAAGGCCCATTGAACCAGATTGTAAAACACATCTGTGGAGATTCTCAGTAGTCCAGGTCATGGTAACTTCAGGAGTTCAAGAATGTCTTCAAGAGAACAAGTAAATACAGTTGTTTGTGTACACTTAAACACCATACGCAAACAGCATTTCCAGCATAACCTGTTGAATTATTAATACTTAACTCAAACAGAATGAAATATAGAACCTAACAACAAACTGCGCCATAAAAGATAAACAGAAGAGTTTACCCACAAGTGAATTTACCATGTACTTTTCCTGTCATCCATGAGAAAGATAGATAGATAGATAGATAGATAGATAGATAGATAGATGGATAGATGGATAGATAGATAGATAGATAGATGGATGGATAGATAGATAGATAGATAGATAGATAGATAGATAGATAGATAGATAGATAGATAGATAGATAGATAGATAGATAGATGGATGGATGKACAGTTACATTATTGTCTTCATGTTTGAGAATGTTTTGTTGTCAGTCTAATGTTCGCGGGAACGAGCGTTGCAGCTGTTCCCTTCAAATCACACAGAGAGCCAAACACAAGCGCGTGTCCAGTGCTCTGTGCTCTGATTGGCCGATAGTGGCCCCGTCACGCTGTTATCGAACATGTGATTGGTTGTAAAGAAGCGCTACTTTCCCCGCCATGGGTAGGAGACCCGCCCCATTTCTGTCCTTGATTGACTTACCCTCGTCTTGTTCTCTAACCAATCAAAACCATTCCTGCCTTAATGTAACCCAATCACAGGCAGGTTAGAGGCGGGACTTCTTGCTCTTTCCTGTACGTGCATTGGTCGAAGTCATTTCCGGTATAAAAGAGCCGCCAACAGTGGCCGGCGCGCCACATTCAACTCATTGTTTCTGAGCTGCTGCTTCTGACAGAACATAACAACGACAACACTTCTGTTTTCCCTTTTAGCATCTGTTTTCATATTTAAACGTTAAATCAAAATGGACTGTGTGGATTTCCCAGGAGTTCTTCCAAACTCACCGAGGAAAGCCCGGGGACAAATTCAGGTTCGTATCACACTAACGTTATTGTGTCAAACGTGTCGGGAACATGTATGTATGCATGTACTGAGACTCACTGTTTATATGAGGCAAACAGGGCACGATGCTAATGTTAACGTTACCTGTGTGTTGAAATGAATACTGTGCTTGCATATCCACCGACCTGAACTGTCTGTGCTGTTGTCTGCAGGTCATCTTCGGACCCATGTTTTCAGGCAAAAGGTGAGTGAGTCATTCACAAAGTTAAAACATCAGGTGTCGGGACATGTGGAGCTAGGTGCTCATTTTATATTCAACCTTTTAAGTAAAGTTAGAACAACACAGACTTGCCCATCCCGCCAAATCTGTTTACCCTGCTCCCATCACTGAAGTGAACATGAAGCGTCTGTGCAGCTCGTGTACTTTCTGTATTAATGTCACTTCACACTGACTCTGTTCTTTATACTTAACATGGTACATAATGTTCATTGGTAAATCTACAATAGAATGAAACCAGTGTTTGAGATCCACTGTCACATAACTGATATATGTTGTGTCTGTATAAACAAAATGTATAGATGGGTTTCACTGAAGTTCAATAAAGTGATTGTCATTTACTTTGCAGCACTGAGCTGATGAGAAGAGTGCGCCGCTTCCAGATAGCTCAGTATAACTGCCTGGTGATAAAATACGCCAAAGACAAACGATACTCTGACACAGGAGTGGCTACACACGACAAGTGAGTTTTTATTTCTCTAAGTTGTTCACATGTACAGAAATACCCTCTCTGTGTGTGGGGAACTAAAGTTAAAAGAGAAGAAGGCTTTAGAAGCTTGGATTTTCAACCTTATTACAAGTGATGGAACAAAGAGGAGAGAAGAAAATTGTGCAGCCAAGTTTGGATCCAGTGAAAAGAGATTTACCAATTTATAGGGTTTGTTTCCTATAATGAAAAAGTTCAGTATTGACCGATCATTAAGTTGAATTTGGATAGAGGAATTGAAAGAGTTGCTTTTGTCTCTCACCAATCTCATCCATGATACTTGAGCAAAAGCTGACCACTAGTGGTGAGATTATGTAGCTTCTGATGATATATTATTCATATGTTTAAAAACAGGAAGTAATGTGTGTGACATTTATCAAGCACCTTTCCTTTTTTATTTTTCCTGATGTTTATCCTGTCCATCTTTTAGAAGCATAATGGATGCTGTACCAGCCAACAGTCTGGGGGATGTGCGGTCTCTGGCACTGAAAGTCTGTGTCATTGGAATTGATGAAGGACAGTTTGTAAGTATATGAACTGTATATTTTCCTCTTTCTTTTTTTGCTTAAAAATGTCACCTTCAGGAAGAAAACAACATGTATTATTGTGGACCTGTGAAAAGTGTTAATTTAGAGGAACTGTGTGTGTCACAAATTGTCTTAACACATTTGTGATCCAGCGTTTATCAGACAGAGATATTTTAGAACAAAGTGTCAGGAGGTCACCACCTAAATCTGTGCTTTTTTTATGTTCTTGTAGTTTCCAGACACGGTGGAGTTTTGTGAGGAGATGGCAAATTTAGGAAAGACAATCATTGTAGCTGCCTTGGATGGAACTTTCCAGAGGAAGGTTAGTGTTCCTGTTTGTTTCTCCCATTCAGCGTGATGCTGGTTCTTATTAACAAACAGACACTGTGTGGACACTGAAGGGTCAGACAAAGTATCACGATGGGTATGGACACAACATAATGTCAAAAACAAGGAAAACAATTTTGAGGATGGATTGTGAACAATCTGCATGCGCAGCTCTTTAACTCTTTCAATGTGCTCATTATTTCACACCATAGTGTCTCTTCTGTCCTTGTAACGTAATTATACCTGACTGTTTTCCTGCTGTTCTGTGCATTCCTGCAGCCATTTGGAAACATCCTGAATCTTGTCCCTCTGGCAGAGAGCGTGGTGAAGCTTCACGCTGTCTGCATGCAGTGTTACAAAGAGGCTGCCTACACCAAGAGGATAGGAGCAGAGAAGGAGGTGAGGAGGCAATTTTGTATCAATAAACTGACCATATAAGGTGCTTTTCAATACTTGGGCCCTTTTCAGACCTGGTATTACCATCCATCTTGGATGATCCAGTTACAGGTGGACAGCTTAATGGGATAGTTGAAATGAAAATTCACTCATTATCTACTCACCACTATGCCACCTTTGGAGTCTCAGGGTAAACAGCGTTCCAGCCAAATCCAATAAAATGTAGGTAAATGGTGACCGATTCTTCAACCTTAAAAAAAACAAAGTGCCTCCATACTGCTCCTGTGGTGTCATCCAAGTGTCCGTATGCCCCAGCATTCAAACTGGACTCAAAACAGCATTTACACCATGTTTACCCCTGAAACTCCAAAAGTGTTTTGTGGCCTCAAGCACTTCACCCACCCCTCCATCGGCATAGCGGTGAATAGATAATGAGTTAATTTTGGGTGAACTATCCCTTTAAGTACAGTTGTGAATGATCCCAAGACGCACTCAAGCCGATTTAGGATCCGATCACTCATTTTTCACCATTTTGAGGTGGTCCAGGTTGAATGTGGTGACATTCTTTGAGCTGTGTTGATGTAAATGCCTCCCGGACCGCCTACTCAGCTGACATCCTTTTACAATGAACTGAAGATATTTTTACACTTCTCAGTGTACTGATGTATTGTGTGTGTAGCGTAATTTACTGACTGCCACTGATTTTCTACTTTTTTTCAAATGGGTTTTATTTCAATGTAAAACTGCAGCACATGATTTGACAACAGACAATTCTCTATGTTCAGACTGTGTAAAACAACATAATCAGGCCATTGTGAACAGAAATGAAGTATGTGTTTGTTCATACATACAGCAGGGACGTGAGATCTGACCTCCGTCACTTGAGATGCATTCATTTAACACCAGACGGGAACAGGGTCTTTCTTTAAAGGGCAGTTTTCATATTAAATACCTCACCATGTATATTTTCAATTAAAGTGTAATGTGATTATATTTAACTTTTAATTATTTTTTAGTTTTATAAGTCAAATAATAATTACTGTAATTCTGAACATTATTGGGTGTCTCAAGCACAAACCTCCCTGCATTTAAGAGCAGGTAGATTTGGTGCATTTCCAGACAATGTGAAAAAGACAGTTGCGTCTATTATCCGTCTATATTTTTATAACATTTATTGTTTGTGCCGTAGGTGGAAGTGATCGGCGGAGCAGACAAATATCAGGCGGTGTGTAGAAGGTGTTACGGGGGTCTAATGGAGGAAAAAGAGAACAGCACACCCTTCAGGAATGAAACTCCACAACATCTCGTAGGAAAGGTCATGGATTGTGGCGTTCCCCGGAAGCTTTTCTCATCTCTCCATCTCTGAACGCTAAAACAAGACATGTAGCACAAGGCCTGGGGAGAGTGGAGGAATTCAACAATTATTATTTTTATGTGTGTGCATATGCAAGAGCATTGGAATTTTTTTTTTAAATTTTTTTAACTGGCATGGTTTAAAATGATTGGTGTTTGTTGTATCTTGAAGTGTCTACAGTCGAATTTAGTTAAATCAGCTCAGATTATTTCTTATGTGTTTGAGGTCAAACTGTTTTAACTTTTTCTATGTTTTTGCTTTGATGGAGACGTACACTTGAAAAACATGAAAAAATCCATAAACCAGCTTATATTTCACTGACATATGCTTAACTACAATAGAATCATCACCTGTAATCTTTATGCATTTTTTACTTTCTTTAACTGTATTTTTCCTGGTAACTAAAGTTATAATTTATTTTTTCTTAAATGTATGATCTGCTGTCAGTTATAATGAATTTGTGGATAAGTTGACTTTGGACTAAGGCTGCTCAGGAGGAGTACACTAGTAAAATTTATGATTTCAAAACAGATCAAATGCTCTTTTCAACAAATTTGCATATGTTAATGTTTTGATGGTTCCCTTCAGTGATGTGTAATCCAACGCCCTCACATGCTACCGAGGACCAAAATAATCTTAAAATCCTGGAAGGCTGTACTATATATACCCTGCAGTACAGTCAAAGTCTAAATTTGTATATACGAGCTATGGTCTCACTATGTCTGAACATCCTGTGAGTGATTTTATTCTGTAAACAAAATGTTTTGAAAAGATTGCTGTCATGCTCCTTTTTGCAACATCACAACTTCAGTGAGTGTGGAAAAATGCTAGAAGGACACTTTGAGAGTGCACCAAGGCTAAGACTGTACCTTGCCATGTTGGAGAAGGGATACAAAATTCCTGGATCTGCCTGATTATCCGGATTCTCTCGAAAGTTTTAGTTTTCTCCTCATGTCGAGCTCCTCCATCACAAATTGTCAGTAGTTTTAAAGTAATCCTGACAGAGGCGAACAAATGGCATCTCTTTGGAGGAGGCATCAAAGCAAGCTGAGAGCTGGTGCCAGTTTTTATAAAACATTAGAAATTCACAAATAATAAAACAAGATTTTTCACAAATGATTCCTGTCTTCTCAAATCTAAAACTAGGAAACTTACAATATAACTATATCTAACAAAACATCAACAAAATTAACTTGGCAAGCTCATTGCAAATTTAATGTGGGCTCATGAGTCAACATTTCAAACTGTAGCCTAAGTACTATTACAATACTGTAGGGAGATGCTGGAGACAGAAAGTCAAAAGGCACATTTTTAGAAATTCATGATTAGTTGAGTTATTCAGGACGAGCAGTTGTCTAACATAAATACACTGAAGTTTTCACACAATAGATTTAACTTGATTTTCCAGAGCAAAAGAAAATCACTCGTGCAGCAGAGATCCACAGCTGTTTAACTGACATATAACAGGAGCATTTCATCATGGCACATTTAACTCTCACTCACTTTCATTTTCCCCAAAAAAACCTCAAGTTCAGTTTTCTCCTTCAGGCACAAAAGACAAATCATCAGCGTTGTTATTCATATATTGTAGCCTCAGTGAGTTACACTTTGGAGGTGGGTTTTTTCATGATTGCAAATGATAATGCCAAGTTGGAAGGATATAATCCAATTTGTGGTATATCATCAGATATATGGTCTCAGATAATGTTATATCTGAAGTCAGCCCACACCTTCACAACAACCATGGGACAAAAAAAGAAACTGATCTCAGGCCAATTACTGTCAGTCACTTGAACTGAGCTACGACAGCCAGAGGGCGGCTGAAGTGTTAAACTGACTAACACTACTGTGTGGCACAAAGTAAACCAGCAAATGTGTTTGAGTCCCACTGTCGCAGGCTAAAGTGTTAATCTGTTATCTTGAAAGACACAAACGCTGCAGTCTGCCTTCAACAGTTCAGACTAGGTGTGTAAACAGAGGATATCATGTCACTGAGACCTTGGAGCAAGAGTGAGGAAGAAGCATTGTTACTAGTGGTTAATCAATGACTTCACAATGAGGACATGCTCGGTGGATAAACTTGTTCAATAAGTGCATAGTTCTACAATCCCCTCCCTTCTCACTATCTGAATGTTGGCTGCAGGTATAAAGAGCAACACTGACTATGCACGTCCAGTGGATGACTCTGCAGTTTGGCAAATTTACCACATTAAGGCCATTTAAGCCATCGTCACAGCTCAGGAAATGGGGGTTTTAAAGTTTTTCATATCTTCATCAACCAGGTTTTACCAAAATAAGTTTTAAAATCAGTATCAGTTGAGATGATGAAGACATGAATCATTTTACTGCAGCACAGAGATTCTTTAACAAAGAAAAACTAAAAATCTTTGTTTCAAAGGTGTTTTATGGTGATAATAGTTAACTGCAAAATCCTACAAAGATAGGACATTAATCTTTATAAAGGTTGTTCCCACTGTACTATTTAATTTAAAATCTATTTAACTATTTACAGGGCCTCAAGATGCTGTTACTGCACTGAAGGAGAAAAAATAAATCCACTAAACGAAATAAGAAAGTAAATCGCACATACAACCATAAAAATGGCAGCTTTGCAAAGCCTCTATTATGTACAAATGCACATTCTCAGTTTCCAACAGAGAGTAAAGTGTAAACACATTCCGTGTTGTTTTCTTCCACTCTGACTGGAGCTTCATAAAGTCACATGATGTGACCTTTGACCTCCTGGGTACATTCCATCATCCCTCTCCCTGGGATCGGCCCATTTGAGGTAAGAGTTGCATCTTTGCACAGAGGACTAAAGTCAGATTACTCAATCGTCGTCAGGACTAATCACGACACTCCTGCCTGACGTCTCAAGATCCGACCATAGAACGTTTGATGTAAACTTCAGTGTCCCACATCTGTGGCTCGCAGTTGCACTGCTCAGGTTCGCACGTCTGATAACAAAAAAAGGGTTAAATCAAATGTAAAACCACATCAATATGATATAGCTCCTAGTCTGTGCAGTGCAACTCCAATCTCTCTATCCACAGATGAGTGGGGACACAACCTCGCCCACGCCAGCTCCCTTTGTCTCAGTAGGTGGGCGGCTGGTAGCCGACGTTTCCTTGCGGCTGAGGGTTCGAGGCGAAGGGAGGCTGCTGGTGCATGTCGGGCACGCTGCTGGGATAGGCTGCGTAACTGGTAGGGGTGTAGGTGGTGGGGTTGTAGGTGCTGGGGGGGTAGGTCGGAGGGTAAGTGGCGTGGTGATCCGATGGCGGCTCTGTGTAGGTCGGGAGCGTGACTTCAGTGGTACCACGGCGGAAACGAACCAGCCCGTAGTAGGCTAGGATTCCCTGCACGATGAGGTGAGAAATGTAAAGGTCAGTCCAGGTACATTGAAAGATTATGCATCATTTTAATAAATCACTTTGACTTCACACTAATGCTGAGGATGTTTTTAAAATTTGGACAATAAGGTAATATTTTTCTGTGCAAAAGTGCAAAAGCTACACAGCATGGAAGTCTATAGGTCAAGTTAAAGGTCCAGTGTGTAACATTTAGGTGAAAGGGAACTATTGGCAGAATAATCCTCATATTTTTTACATTAGTCCAGACTGAACAAACTAAACACCTTTTGAGTTTTTATGACAAGTGAAGCTACCACAGGTTCTTTTTCATGTTTGGAAGAAGAGGGGGAGGTGAGGGGTGTTCAGCTGCAACAGGCAATTTCAACACCAGATATCTCTAAATTCTACACACTGTACCTTTAATAAGAGTCTCTTGCAATAAAACGTTGGTTTAGCTGCTGACACAATAGAGTCAATTGACTTCCGCTGTGTTACCAGGCAAAGGTTTGACAGTAAACACTAAGATGGAAATTGGCAGCTTTGTAGTATTATCAACGTGGTTTTTGATGTTAAAGTCTAAAGAGTAACTCAGAGACCTTTCACTGCTGGATATACTTGTGAGGCGAGATTACCCAGACGATTTATGGTTTCTCTCTTTTCAAAATGAATCTTATTGGAAAATGAAAGCTGAAGCTAATTTATAAACTTTATTAGTAAAAAGCACCATTAGTAATCTGTGTCAGATCTTAGTCTGGGCAACAATCATATTATTAAACTTCTTTCTCCAGCTGCAGCTCAGTGTTGAAGTGACATGGTAACATTTGAGCTGTTTTAATAAAAACACAGACAGCGTCCTGCTCACCCAGGTGGCGATGGAGAAGAACGAGAAGGCAATGGCGGCGCGTGCAGCGTCCTGGGGGATACCTCTGACATCATAAGTGCGACCCCACTGATTGGCCAACAGGCAGAAACACACAAACCACAGGAAGGCCCACACCCCTAGAAAACACACAGATGTGCAGACGCGGATGTGAATGATCATTTTTCCACACAGTGTGAAACAACATCACAAGCACTCAGTTGAAAATGATATGAAAATGAATTCCACTAGACAAAGGAAGAAAAATGTCAACAGAACAAAAAGGTCTCTCCTGTCGTAATCTGCTCAAATGATCACAAGCTGTTTCACAAACTACCACTTCTTTGTTTCCCTTGATGAATGGCTGACTGTGATCTGTGCTGTTTGTAGCTAATGAATGTTTAATTTAGAAGAATCTGTGAGGTTGTTCTACCCCCCCACCCGGCTGCTCGCTCCTCGACTGTACACTACAAGGAATAATAGGGCCTACATGTTGTGTTATGTCAGGAACACAGGCAGGCGGTCTGTCCCACATTACACCAACAATCAGAGGCTTTCTGTACTAAGAGGTTCACATTTATAGTAAATGAGCAAAATAAAACTCAGATGGGGAACCTATGAGGAGAAACAACCACTCAGATCTTAAAAACAGTTAATAATGCTGTGGAAAAAATGGGATTAGAAGATACTGCCCTCTCATGACTTTCATCCTTTAAAAGCTTCTCTGGTGTAATATATACGTTTGCAGCTCTCACACAAATAAAAACTGAGTGTCCTGGGAACCTTTTACTACTTTGTCTGCAAGCCCTTTTTACTACTACCACCTTAATTGTATTATTTCTGCACTAAGAAGCTTTTTTAAGCAGAAACCTTAAATGTGGTTAACACATTATCAAACATTTAACAATACCCATTATGCAGACATAGACTAACATTGTATTTTAGTTTTAAAATGGAATTTACAAGTGAAACTAAACTGTGCGGCCTGTAAACCATTGTTGCAATCCAGCCTGCTGGAGATAAATGAAAGTACAAGTTATCCAGATTGAGATCCCTGCCATAATTTTGAGATAGTAGATGGCTGATTTTGTTATTGAGCTAATGTGATCACTGGAATTAAGGTTGGAATTGAGGATAACAACACGGTTTCTAGTTTGATATTTGATTTTTCAAAGAAGTCAGCAGAGAATCTGAGTCTTTATTCCTCAGCAACAAAGAGAATAAATTTGTCCTCATTTAACTGAAGTAAATTTTGAAGCATCACCTATTAATGTGTTTCATGCACTTTAAAAGGAATCTAATGAACTATAGTTGCTTGGTGGCACAGAGTGTCATCTGCATACATGTGATCAGAAATCATACCATCTTTAATGACATTGGCATATTTGAGGCGTATTAAGATTGAATATCTTTCTAGTTCTAAGAATCAACCCTTGCGGCACTCCACACGTTATTGGGAGACGCTCTGATGCGCATCTACCACATAGTACAAAGTAGTCTCTGTCATGGATGCAGGACTTGAACCAGTTCAGGGCACATTCAGAGAGACCCACACAGTGCTCCAGTCTGTTTTTTAATATACTGTGATCAACTGTATCAAAAGCAGCAAGGAGCTTTAGTAGCTCGAGGACAGAGACCAAAGTCATTCAAAACCTTGATTAGAGCAGTCTCGGTACTGTGGTGGGGTCTAAATCCAAAGTGGCAAAAGTCGAAAATAATTATTTCTTGACAAAAAGATGTTGAATTGACTTAAAACAGCTTTCTCAGTGATTTTACTGATAGGTGACAGGTTTAGTGTGGGCCAATTATTATTCAGAACGGACAGATCCAAATTGTTTTTAAGGCCATGAGGCTTTTCATGGCTTTGGCCAAACCTCTGGATAGAAGGGAACTATTAACTATCTGCAACACATCAAATGAAAATCTTGGACAAATCTGTGGGCAGCAGATAAAGACAGTACAGGAGGATTTGGGATCTCTCTCTGAGATGTCTCTTCTGGTGGTGCAAGATTAAAGTGTCAAAGTGAGTCATTTTACAAGACTTTCTAGTTGATTGTTAACCTTAGAGTCGTATTCAGACATGAACAATGTTTGCCTTTCACATATAATGATCGCAGCAGGAGATGCATTCACAACAACAGGAAAATGTCTGGAACATTTAGGTGAGGTGTGGCACCAGAGTAGTGCATGCAGAAGACAGGACATGAGGTATAAATTCAAGTTACTGCAGAATGGGTAATGATTTCATGAAGGCTTGTCACTGAGTGAGTGGCACCTTTCAGACAACACATGGCAATTTGATCCATTGCTATTATAAAAAGACTGATAGGTGCAGTTTTAATGCCAGTTTTAAACAATAAAGCTTTTGCTCACCTGAGAATCCCAGGTCGGCCATGACAACGTACTTCCTCTCCTGTGCATTGCTCATGAAAGGTAAGTAAACATCTAACAGCAGGAAGGCCACGCAGGCCAGGAAGGCAATCACCCCAATGGCCACAGCATACTGACACGCTGAGTCATTCTGGTTGAAGAAGCACTTTGCCTGTGCACTTTGGGGACTGTTGATGTATCCCTCTGTTGTGATGCAGGCAAACACCACCATGGCAAATATCTACATCCAAACAAAGAGAGCAGGAAGGTTGCAAATAGTGTAAAGTGAAGGAATACAAGATTTATTTACATTTTTTAAACAATCAATGATTTGCAAACACTTAACTATCTCAGTTAAAGGAGCATTTGGCAGTTTACTTCAAGTTTACCCATTAACTTCACACTGCATACCGTACATGACTCCTGACCAAATGTTGAAACAATAGGTCTCATTTCATTAACGAAATTAAAATCTACAATATGACTTAATCAAAAACAGGTAATGCACAATATTTTGTGTCAAGCTCACATCACTGTCTTCAGTTCATTTCAAGGAATGATTTGGAAAACTCTTCCTTGGTGGTGCATTCAACAGACACCTTGACATTTGGAATTTGAGACTGCTTCCAAAAGACATCTCAGTGAAGACAACAGCAGCCCCAGTGGAAAATAAACCATTGTGGCTGCGATGACAATGTGTGAATTCAGCTTGTTTTCTATTATGAAAGTTATGAAACTTCACTCTGCACCATAGACTGTTTATCAAAAGCTCTGCAAACAACATGCAGCACACAAACATTAAGTAGGACTCACTAATGACGGGCAATGATTCTGAAGTAATAAACAGGCAAGTTTAGAACGGGAACGGCACCAGTTTCAACAATTTCACAAAAACCTGTATCCATTTCTACTTTCAAGCCAAAATGGAATATTAGGCATCGTCGCCCACAGTCTTGTCTTATTGCTGACTCTTGCAACACCCTCAAGTTCTTTTGCTCAGAAATCGAAGAGCATTAACTGCTGCCAGGTCCCTCTGACCGTCCCGTGGTCTGTTACTGTCTGCTCTGGTTACCCACCTAACCATGTGACCTACTTCAGAGTGCAGCTGCCTGCCATGTGACTCTGGAGATGCCACCAGTTCCCTAACAACACTCATAATGAGATCTGGGAGGAGGATAGAGAGGGACTGTTTAACACGTGGGAAGGAGGAGAGGCCGTAACCCGGCCAGACAAAAGGTAAAGTGACTGAGCAGGAGGCAGAGACGTTGAGGGTTGTGAACGCAGGGACTTCCAAAAAATGAGACAAAAGTGGGGACTGTTAGAGAAACAGATGGATGTCGCTTTACATAAATACACAGATTGAAAGCGTTGAGTGACAAATGTTAAATAAACGACAACATGTTCCATGTGAACAAAAGGAATATTGTTTAGGTGGATGTGACGAAGCTCTGCCTTAAACAATGACGTCTTGTATTTACCCATAAACTAAAACCACCAAGACGGTGAAGAATATGAGATGGCTATTCCTAGAACAAGACTTTTCCTTGTTCTGGGAACAGGTGTATTGCATTGTGGGACATGTGGGCGGGGTTACAGAGCAAACAACGTTGTTCTCTTACTGCAGGTGCTTGATCAATGAAGCACGAATAAAAGCACCAGAGATTGATGGTAGTCGAACCCAGGTGAATACTTGATGGGTTAGACACAGCTGCAAAGTATGGGTGTGTGTGTGTGTGTGTGTGTGTGTGTAATAGAGAGAGACATAGAGAGAAAGACACACACACACACACAAACTCTCCAAGAGTAAGAGAGGATCAGCGAGGGGAAGGTATCATCTTACCTGCCCACCAGCCCCTGTTTACTGGTGACACACACCTAATCTCTCTTTAACACACACATGCATATAAACATCTGTTGTGGCAACCAAGAGCACATTCTGTCCTCAGTCCTTATCCACCACAGTGTTCAGGTAAGCTGTGTTTCCCTCTCCCTGACCCTGCATGTACATTAGCCAGAGGCCTAACCAATGGTTTACGCCTCATGAGAATCAAAAACCTGTAATTCAACCGCCCTCACAGTGATCCTCCATATGAACCTGTAACAAAATGAAAGCAGTGAAACTCCCACTAAATGATGATCCTTATAGTTTAATTTCACCAAGGACCGATAGTTAAAAGCTAATCCTTGAGTGTGTGAGCTCAGAAACACTCAGGGTTAGACGCCACTATTTTTAATGCCACAACCTGCCTGGCTGAGTTTCATTTTACACATAGCATATCAATGTCCTCACCACATAATACAAATCTATGCCATTTGATTTACCTAGCAACAGATGATCAGCCATGTGTAGCAACTTCCCAGAACTTTTCCTGGGATGTGAGTTCTCCTCTCTATGCAAATACCACTTCTAATAACATCCCCATTCAACAAGTCTATTAATATACACTCTCATATTCATTTTGAAAACATTAAATACTTTCGTAGAAAGCAATAAATTGTAATCTGACTTTCAAGAGTCATAATACAAAGTCAGCTGAGGGCAACAGAGTTAGAGACAACAAGAGATTATTATAGAGATGTTATTTAGCTGGTTAGCCTCCAGTGTGAGTGTGTGTTCCTGTACTTATATCTTTGTGATCTATTTAAAATTCTTTTGGAAACTGAGAACATTTTGACCAGTCCTCACTTTTCCAAAGAGCTGTTTGATAATAAGACTAGGTTTTAGGGTTAGAATTAGGTTAGACGTTTAGTTTGGATTATGCTAATGAGTGCCATCACTAAGCTAGAAATACAAATGTGTGTGTTTCCTGTGTTTTGTCCTCTGACAACAGCAGTGTTGACCTGTGCTGTCACCGAGCTGCTGTCATACACCAGCTGCGTGCAACATGACGCTCCCCGTGGAGACGCTGCAGATAGTAGCCTGTTGTTCTGGCCAACACAGATACAAATAAACACAAAAGCGGATAAATCATATATATATGATTTATCCGCTGCACAGGGCTCCTCGCACCTGTTCTCAGGCCACGTCTCCTTCCTCCTCTCACAGCGCTGAACACATGAACACACTCACCCAGCTCAGCAGCCGCACTATGGTCTGCGGCTGTCTGACAAACTTGTTCAAGTCGAAGCCTCCTCCTGCGAGCGAAGCCCCGTACACACTCGCACCGCCCGCGTCTTCCATGTCTCTCGGCAGCAGTTCCTCCGGAGCCCACAGTGTGCTCTGACCTGGCCTCGCAGCACGGCACGGCACGGCACGGCACGGCACACGGCAGCTGAACTGAAACTGAAGTCAAGTGAGACAGAGCCGCCGCTGTCACCACCTCCTGCAGGCGAGGGCGAGTCGAGCCAGTGGGGCAGGAGCTGCGCACCAGGGGCTGCGCGTCAGAGGGGCGGATATCAGCAACAAGGAGACACGGTCACGTTCGATTCTACTCAGTTTTATTTGAATATATCACAACGTACATTTTCTATTACAACTTAAGTATTTGACTCCAGTTTCTCTCACAACTCTTAAAGGCTCAGTGTGTAGAATTTAGTGACATCCAGTGGTGAAGTTGCATATTGTAGCTGAATACCCCTCACCTCACCCTCTCCTTCCAAACATGGGAAGATAGAAAGAGAACCTGTGAGCTTCAGTTGTCGTAAAAACTCAAAAGGTTTTTAGTTTGTCCAGTTTGGACTCATGTCAAAAACATGGCAGCCTCAATAGACAGGACCCACTTCACCCTCGCCTCCATCAGCACAGTGTGATAGGGGGAAGTGTGGCGTGTGGGTACGTTGTGTTAAACTGAAATTGCTCGTGGAAACTGGACTGTGGTGAACTGAAATATTGACTGCTTCTCACCTGTGTGAAGGTGAATACAATAATGATGATGAGCAACGTTAACAGTGTTGTGATGGAAATGAATCGCCATTCTCAAAGATACACAATGCATTGGACATGGTTTATTGTTGGAGCTCAGAACACGCGTCCAAACAAGTTGTCCCATCATGCACCTCAGTGGCCCAATTGTGTTATTTGATAAGTACACAACACACTCACATTTACAACAATTATCAATTTAGAGTTTCTAATAATCCTAAGCAGTTGAATTTGAACTGGTAAACCTTTCACTGGGAGGCAACAGTGCTAACCACTGCGTTGCCCTTGTTTAGAGAGCAACAATAGACATTTTTGTACATTGAACAGACAGGAGGCATCACAAGCAGGTATTCAACCACAGCAGTGTGTTTATATGGAGCAAAAGATCAGAGTCCTCAGGGTTCCTCAAACGCTTCATCCTCCAACGTCTTCCTCTGCACTGCAATTTGGGGCCATTCGTCTACAGAGGCTTCAGATGTCTGAGGAGTGCAGGAGACATGAGACTTTGACTTGTTTATGTAACTGACTTGACTGGCTGATGGATTTCATTGGTTAATCTAGTCTCACCTCATCAAGTTCATCCCCTCTGGCTGCTCTCACCACATCCACATCCTCGTTGTACTCACACAGATCCTACAAGAAGAGAGCACTGTCATGGTTTAAAACATCAAACACAACAGAAATAGAGCAATGTGCTGTGAAAGTTTCTCTTTTGAGAGTAAATGAGTGGTTGAAGCTTTGAATGATGCAGATACAGAAATAGTGACGAACCAGCTCGCTTTCGTCCACAACCACCTTTCGCTCCATCTCCAGACCCAACCTGAGAGGAGGAAACAGCCAGATGTCACATATACAGCTGTCTACACACGCCCAGCAAACATTTGAGAAAGATGCAACCTCATATTTTCTTTACTGTATCCAAAAATATCCCTATTTTCTTTCAAGCCTTATCTTAAATCTTAATTGATAAAAAAGTTGGCCAATCGTGAGCTATACCAATTAGGACCATAAAGCTGCATGCACTGGTTTTATGGCACAAAGAAGGAAACAAGGAAGAGGGTCATTGTACTTTCACTTAATCCATCATCTGTCATTATTCCTTTTAATGGAAGATTTTGCATAAACTCTCAGCCAGAAATGTGGTAATATAAAATGTGAAGGTATTAGAACTTAACAGAAGTAACTCACAGAGATTTCTCTTCAAAAACCTTTCGCCCTGAAAAGAGGAGTAAACAGCATTAACTATCAGAAGCAAATGAGGAGGATCACCTCCTGAAAAAAATAGACCCTAAAATGTTGGAGAAATCTGTGATCTTACTGTACACCAGTCCAATCCCACAACAGATGGACACCAGGAGAATCAAGGCTGTGAAACATCCAAAGACAACCGCCACTACCCAGACAGGGAGACGGTTCAGCACTGGAGGAGCAGGAAGAAGATGAATTAACAGTGTTCACTGGTTACAAAGATGTATTACATTAATGAATCAACTCTACCTTGTTTATCCAAATATAGCTTCCTGCTGCTTATTGCAGTGGCGTTGTCAAAGCTGTCAGACACTTGACAGTGGTACGTCCCAGCGCTGCTCCTCCCCACTGACAGCAGGAGTATTGACAGTTCTGGCGGCTGGTCGACCACATAGTAGAAACTTCCTCTGTCACGGAGAAGGGTTTTGTTGAGGAACCACTGGTACCGTGGATGAGATCCCTTTGCCACCTTGCAATACAATCTCAGGCCGACCACAGCAAAGTTTTCTCCGATGTCGCGGTCGTACCGCATGGTCACAGGCCCACCAACTGAGACTGAAGGACACATCATAGATTTGACGATTAATAAAAAGTCATCTGTATCATAGAGTCATGTCAACGATTGCATACAACGCCATCATACCAACTTCCAAGGGCAGCCACTGACTGTGAGCAACCTGGGCTCTGTTGTCTGCTTCGCACTGGAGCTCTCCCAAGTACTGATCCAAGACCAGTGGTAACTTAAACATGCCGCTCCTGTTTTCACTCATCATACTGGCAACCAGCCGTGTCCTGTCGTAGAGTGAAAAGATCACAGGTGGGGTCCCTACCGCCGACTCACATGTAACCACAGCAGAATAGTTGTGGGAATCCTCCTTCAGCACAGTGAAGGAGATATCAGGGTCTGACACCACATCTGAGGGAGCAGGACGTGAGGATGTTATTATTGTCCAGAGAGTCCATAGAGCTTATTCATTAGTCAAAATGGTTCACCTTTGACTGTTATTTCAATTCCAGGACTTCTGGAGGTTGAAAAGACTGTTTGGTTGTAGTAGTTGGTAGCCACGCATGAGTAGGAGCCGCTGTCTCTGGAGGTGATTCTGAGGGTGGCACCGATTATTATTTTAGTAACATTGTGATTGCTTGTTTGGATGAAGAGGATCTTATCAGACAGTGTTAGATATTTGTTGAGAGAGATTATAATTGTTACCATCCTTAAGTTATTTATCCTGCAAAGAAAGCCCCATCCATCCCTGAGACTTATATTAAAGATGGATGAAGACAGAATAACCATAGCAACCACCGAGCAACATCCCACCAACAGCCTGGTAACTACCAAACACAGTTTAGAAGAGTGATCAAATAATCAAATCCATTTTCCTGACTCATGGACAGTGTCATAGCAACCACCTGATGAAACAACAGCACCCATCCATTGAGTGTCCAAATGGTTTTCCACTGACCTGAAGATATGGAGAAAGTTATCTGAGAGACCTGAAGACGGAGAGATGAGCTGACCATTCAGCAGCCATTTATAGGACACGTGGTTTCCAGCAGCAATTTCACAGACCAGCTTCACATTCTGGCCGTTGAAGAACTCCTCTGGATCTGGATGAAGAAAAATCTGTGCATCCTCCACTCCCTCTGCAGGACAAGCACAGCAGCACACTGCACTGAGATCACACTCTTATTTCAAATCAACTCTTACAGTTATTGTAAAAACTGTGTTAATCATCCCCTCTGATAAAAAAATCAACAAATCGCCTCAAGATAGTGGTGAAATTTGAAACCAGAGTTCAAGGTCCCACACACAATACGTTTAAATGTAACTTTGGCTGTCATCTGCTGCTATTATTGGGTCGAAATTTCAACTCGCGTATTATTCGTAACCAAATAATACTATTAACGTGCCTCGGCTGTACTTAGTTTTTAAGACTAATAGAAAAAACTAATAGTATTCACCTTGAATCAACATGCCTTTTAAACAGTGCTGGAGGAGGTAGTCAAACATTTTACTTTAGTCAAATTATTATTTTCTCTGTATGTTATTTATGTTAATGTTATGTTAAATCATATTAATGTCAAATTTTCTTCAGATATTTGCTGATATATGTAGTGGAGTAAAAGTGAACTGTAACCAAAAATAAATCTACTTCAGTAAACTACAGATACATGGAAAATGCACTGAAGTACAGTAACTTGTTACATCCCACTACTCTGTTGAGAAATGTGTTTCTCACGGTGTTGAGTGTTTACACATAATGTGCACAGTGATCTCAGGTATCAAGAGACTCACCGACCACCCTCAGGTAGTGTGTTCTGCTGACAGTGGGCTCGACGTGAGAGTTGTTCTGTGCTCTGGCCACACACTCGAGGTTGCCCTCATGGGACAGTTTGGTGACCAGGTTGAAGACCCCAGTTTCCCCAGACAGAGCAGTAGACTCACCCAACAGCTTGGTATTGTTATCCTTCCTAAAAAAGGTTGATAGATAGAGGGGTTTTCATACATTTTAACACAGTGGTTCATTTTGGAATACAGTATTATTACTCACTTGTATAACTGCATTAGGAGAGTTTCATTCTTTGTGTTGTTTGATACTACACATTTGAATATAACAATGTGTCCCGGCAAAGCCTCTGAAGGGCCAAGCAGCTCTGGAATCCCCAGAATTGTCTGACCTATAAAAAAATAGACAAATAAAAAGTGCACGGACAGTCAAATGCTCTATAATGTTCTTAACTCATATTTTCTATTGACTGCACACATAAAATCCATACAACTAACTTACTGCTGTTCGTTCTGCAGTAGCATGACCCTACAGAGAGCAAGAAGAAATAAAAAAATTCAAAAGTCTCAAACTGCGAGATACTGTATTGTGAACTGTTGTGTGGTTTGTGTTGATTTGCTCACCCAGCGTGACCACGAGGAGGAAGGCAAACATTCTCAAAGAAAAATGACTGACTTTCATACAACTGCTAACCTCCATCTTGCTACACTGTAATGCATCAGGTTTGACCAGTTTCGAATGGAGGGATGACACACAGTAGATAAACACACTCACACACACACACACACACACTTAGAAACGTGCAAATAACTGATAGCAATACACTACCCCTCCCTCCTTTCATGTCTTAACTGTTAAACTGTTACATTTTACACTGCATTGCGATTGCATGCATCCACCAACCAATGCAGGTACAGTCTACATGCACTCTTTTCCAGACTCATATGAGGCCACCGTGACCTTTGACCTTTAATGGTAGGTCATCCTTGAGTTAGGGTCAGATGTAATGAAATTCACTATGGGTGAATCTGTACATCACATTCACAAGAACATAATGTTACTGTGACCTCGGACCTCTGATCAACAAAATCTAATCTGTTCCAAATTTGCATTTGTAATAAATTTGAAAAATTGTCCCTCAAGGTGTTCTTGAGATACCATGTTCACAAGAATGAGAGAGACAACCCAAAAGCATAATGCCTCTGCTACTGGCTGTCGCCGGTGCAGATGCATACAAATGTGAATGGTATGTCTGACACATGATGAAGTGATGTAGTCAAGCATTCATTTTATTTCACTGGTTTCATAAAAACATTAAGTGGTAAAAATTTTAATTGACAAAAAAAAAACTTGACAGTATTCAGTGGTTATGCTGAAAAACATCCCATCTCTCTGTGTTTAAACTCTTAAGTAACTATGTAACTTTACAGGTCAGGAAAAGTATCAAATGCAGTAGAGAACAAAAAAGCTACAATATCAAAATGAAATATTTGGACAAAGTGATGAATGTGATGAGTTGAGAGGAGCAGGAACTTCATGCTGTGTCATACTGTGATCTCTATGGTCTGGAACAGACAGACAGAAAAGATGTCATTATATTAGCACCTAGTCTGTTTGTCAAAACAAGATGTTTTTATCTTAAAGCTCCTGAAGGAGATTATTGAAAGAGTTGCTCCATTAAAAGCTAAAAAAAACAACAACAAAAAAATTGTGGTGCTCTTAAAACTTCTTAATTGAATAATGCTTTATTTCATGTGTCCATATATAAAAACTAAGGAGAATAGTAGGTTGGGATTAATAGTGAGACATTTTTGTGTTTAAATGATGAAAATGTGAAATATGTTTACAGGCAAGCATACAAGTGAGTTGAAACATTTTAGTTTACAATATCAAGAAGGAAATGATTAATATATACCTTTGTTTAGTTCTCCCAATGGAATACAATTTTTATGTTATGGCTTATATGAAAACCACACCCATAAAATAACTTTAAAATCTCACTTTAATATGAATTTACAAACCTGTTGAGAAGAGGCAGTTCCCTGATTTAAACTCTTTGTGTTTATGTGCTGTTATGACGGCCTGTATACCTGACTCAGGACATCACAGTTTGCACAGGACTGGGACGAGGGCACAGACAGAGGAAGTGCATCAGAACTGACAGGAAAAGGTACAAACGTGGTTGATGTGGTTGGATTTAATCACAGAAACGATAAACCTTCTAAGTTCCATTAGGGAAAAGCTTACTTTGTCACAGCAATGTGGGCTTGAGCTGAAAAAGAAGTAAGAGGTGGAGATATAGGGATATTTTAAATAATGAATTATAAAGTGAAAATTGTGTACAGTGAATGTTTCCTTCACACATACACACACACACCTTGGTTGTGGTCAAACATCCTGTAAACACAGGCCACGCCAGCTGTCAACATGAGAAAAAGGAAGCAGCAGAAGGCTATGGCGATGTTCTCTGTAGTGGTCATGAAAACCTCTGTGAAGGAGAAGAGACATGAACAGTGAGCCATGACGTACTGTAGTGTCAGCTTGTGAGTCATTTGAATAACCAACATGTGCTGCTTACTTGGTGGTGTTTCAGTGGAAGATGTTGCTCGAGGCATGGAGTTCAGGATCCTGTCTGATTGAAAGTAAAAAAGATATAGAGTGCAGAGGCCCCACATACACAGAAGGCATTTATTAAAAGGCACACATTAAAGGAATAGTTTGACATTTGGGGTAATATCCTATTTTGTCTTCTTGTCAAGAGCAAGATGAGAAAAATGATGCTTCCCTCATGTGTGTGGTATATTACACATATATATGGAATATTCATTATTCCACTGGGATTACTTTCATTTGAGTTTTGATCTTTTTACCTGTGACTTGGACCAGCACATCTCCACTCTCCACCCAGGGCCCGGAGTCATTATAGCTGTCCCTGACCCTGCAGCGGTAATTCCCAGACTCCTCTGAGGCGAGCTTAGTGAGGACAAGTGTCTGACTGCGATTGGCGAGGGCAACATGAGGGAGGTTAGCCCAAGACTGGAGGTCCTCATGTGTTTCGGAGGGAAGGACAGAGTCGTTCAAGAGCCAGGAGATGTGAGGGAAGGTTCCTCTGCTGAACATGCACCTCAGCTTGGCGGCGGCGGCACGCTTGGAGTCGGCTCTGTAGAGATATTCCACCTCTGCTTTCACCTCACCTCCAACTGGGACTGAACAAACGTGGAGGAGAGAGGAACATCCGTGAAGAGGAGGGAAATTAGAGTAAGGGAATCACAGAAACATCACACATCTCCTTCACATGTTTGTGTAGCTCATACCCACTTCCAGAGTCACAGGTTCACTCATCAGCTCCTGCGCCTCCGTTTTCACCCAGCATCGCGCCACGCCCATGTCCTGCCCTAGTACCACGTGGACCAGGAACCAGACAGTGAGGGATTCGTTTACTGTGAGGGATCTGACCTCTTCGTCATTTACTGAGACAGAGAAGTTGACCGGATGGCTCCCTCTTGTTGACCAGCAGGTGATGTTGCCTTGGTAACCGTCTCCCTTGCTGATGATGGAGAAGGAGATCTTTGGCTTTGATACATAAGCTGGTGGAGGCAAAACGACGGGAGAAGACAGTAATAATACTGAACCTGCATCAACAATAATAATCATTTATAAGGCCCTTGGATCAATCAATCAATCAAACAATCACATTTTATTTGTATAGCCCATATTCACAAATCCCACCGTCAGTCTTGAATGGGAAACAAATTCCTGCAGCCATGTTCCACACCTTTTTACAAGTCCTCCCTTGAACAGTGGGCCATGTTTTGGCAGCATTTTGAATAACCATGATTTGGGAAAAAAGACGATTCTCAATTGTCCACGTAGTTATGGCCACAGTTTATTTTCAAAAAGAAGTTGTGCAATAACTTTGGTCTAAAGGCTCCATGTGGTAATAAATCCATTTCATTTACACTACAGTGACAATGCTAACATGCTAATACAGTTTAAACTTTAGTATGCTTACATTTGCTATCAGTGCTTAACACATAGCACAATCGAGGCTAATGAGAATGTTGATAGTTTGCAGCTATTTGGTCATAAAGCAAATTAAAATTAAGTCCAAATTAAGATTTGGAATGACCAACAACCAGCATGGTTAAAAAATGTTAAGAAATACCATGAACTAGAAGAAGCTCAGAAGAGCGCAAACCTCAACCAAGGCTGAACAATGCTACACATCGTTATGGTGGAAAAATAAAATGAAAATCATAATTATTATTATTATTTTTTTTTGTCACAAAACATTGTCCTAAACAGCAAAACTGAGATCGGAGCATTGCATATAATAAGAAAATGAAAAATCCAGACTCTTCCCAAGCCCAGAGCCCATCCTTCCACCAAGTCGTCTATATCCTCTGTTAATATTTCTGTAGATATGTACCTTTGACTGTCACCTTGACCTCAGTGCTGCTGGAAAACCTCCTGATGTCCTGAACCATGGATGAGGCCACGCAGGAGTAGTGCCCAGCATGCTCTGGAGTCGCCTGCTCCATCACCAGCTCGTTACCAGTGAGGTGGAAAAGAGGAGAGGTTAAAGATGTTATCTCCTTCCTGTTGAAAAACCAGGTGTAGGACAGGTGGGAGCCTCTTGTGACGGTGCATTTCAGGACGATGCGTGATCCCTCGTATGCGACTGGGGGGGAAGGTTCAGAGGTCACTCTGGTATTTGATGCTGGAACTATAGATGAGAGGCAATGGCAGATGGTTAGGGAGGAAAGGAAGAGGTTACATCTGGGAATATTTCTTCTTTCTAACAACCGATGTGTGGTACTTACTGACAACACTCAGCGTGAGGATGTTGCTGACTCCTGTGCTTCCTTCAGCTGTTGCATTGCAGTGGTACAACCCCTCTGATGTTGCAGTGACCTTCAGGAAGAATGATGCAGGTTGGTCACCTTGGAGATCCGTGCCTGTGGCGATTGGGATACTACTGTTTCTTATCAGCTGATAGGTGACTGGTGGAGAGGAGTTGTGTGCAATACACCAGAAAGCTACCCTCGAGCCGAGGTAGGCCATGTGAGGGCCAGTCAGGACTGGGTGAGGATTCATTGATCCACCGAAAGAAAGATATGAAGTAGTGGAAATAGTTTGGCTATAGACCCCTGGCATACCTGTAACACATTTTAATAAAAGAAATGACAGTAAAGTCACTGACTTCATTCATTCACATTGAAGCAACTCATACAACAATCATGATTATTGTACATAAAGACAAACAAAGAATTTCAGAAAACTGAGCTCAATATCTCAAGCACTTACTTATCTTGATGAACAAACTTGCCAGAGCTGAAAACAAAATCAACAACATGTTGCA